CGCTAATGAAACGGAATGCTGACAGCTAAAACAATAGACGGTGTCCACACTTCTTAACCACTGAGATTTAATTACCCGTGCTAATAGTGGCCACAATACCTTTAAGCACGAGTGGCTATAAATAGACGTACGGTGAGCCGGTATCTGTTCAAGTTCTAGCAGGAGTTCTCAACCTTTTTTTTTTCTTCTTTCTTTTGACAACAGGCAACCCTGTCATTTTAGTTCTCGGGACAGCTTTTTATTTGTTTTAAATGCTCAAATACAGATAAAACAAGCAATTTTGTTCCATCTTAAAGCTCGATGGGATTCTGATCCTATAGGATGCTAAGCTTATGAGATGTCCGAGCTGTGGAATGCTAATCTTATGAGATGCCCTTGCTGTGAGATTCTTGCTTATAAGATGCCCGGGCTGTGAGATGCTAAGCTTATGATGAGATGCCTGGGCTGTGAGATGCTAAGCTTATGAGATGCCCTGGCTGCGATGCTAAGCTAATGCGATGCTGCGGGCTGTGTGATACTAAGCTTATGGGATGCTAAGCTTATGGCATGCTATAATAAGCTTATGGAAAGTCCGGGCTGTTTGATCCTAGGCTAACGGGATATCGGCCTAAAGGGTCCTTTGCTTATGAGGTGCCGATCTCTCAATTTGAGAATCCCTATTTTTGTAGAAAGCGCGACAGGCGGCCGGTCAACCGAACCTAACGTCAAGGTAATCACGCGGGGGACTTTAAAGGCGGGAGAGAAAAGTCGGTCCGCCGGCTACTTGGAAGAGAGTCAGTCATGCAGACTTATCCCTGGACAATGGTTGGTTTGTGAGATCCATTGATGAAAGAAAAGCTGGCTGATTTGGGCCGGAGAGTGAAAAAAAAACGGTGTGGGGAGTTGGCTGTAAGAATATATCGATTTGTTGTAAAGTCGATGTTATGAACTGGAAGAATTAGACTAAGGTTTCTTTCATGGTGGGTTTGTAGTGTGGGTGTGTGTGGGGGGGGGGGGTAAGTTGTCAACACCTTGGTGGGTTTGTGGGGGGGGGTAAGTTGTCAACACCTTGGTGGGTTTGTAGTGGGGGGTAAGTTGTCAACACCTTGGTGGGTTTGTAGTGGGGGGTAAGTTGTCAACACCTTGGTGGGTTTGTAGTGGGGGGTAAGTTGTCAACACCTTGGTGGGTTTGTAGTGGGGGGTAAGTTGTCAACACCTTGGTGGGTTTGTAGTGGGGGGTAAGTTGTCAACACCTTGGTGGGTTTGTAGTGGGGGGTAAGTTGTCAACACCTTGGTGGGTTTGTAGTGGGGGGTAAGTTGTCAACACTTTGGTGGGTTTGTAGTGGGGGGGGTAAGTTGTCAACACTTTGGTGGGTTTGTGGTGGAGGTGAGTTGTCAACATCTTGGTGGCTTTCTGGTGGAGGTACATTGACAACACCCTGTGGAAGATACGTGGGTCAGATTTCCATCCTTGTGAAAATGTGTCCTTTACCCAAACTATCAGATCAAAACACATATTAAAGGTATCAAGGGCAAAGTGCGCCTTCCAAACTGTGTATGTTAATAAAGGCAAACTTGCGCAGTTAATATCATGGAAAAAAAATAATAATGTAATATCTACACCACTAACAATATTACATCTTACACGACACCAAGTGTAACTGGCTGCTACCACTTTTCCCCCTTTTTCAAAATCTCTTAATAGCGCCCTACTGTCCATAGTGTTACAGATACACGGCTAAGCAAGACGGGACGAAACTGTGAACCTTAAATACTACAATGCACTTATAACTTGAATGGTTTTAACGAAACAATTCTATCAACCACTCTCTCTCTCTCTCTCTCTCTCTCTCTCCCCCTGTCTCTCTCTCTCTCTCTCCCTCTCTCTCTCTCTCTCCCCCTGTCTCTTTCAACGGTCTCCAGTACGTGGGATCGTGAGCCGTGCGCGGTCCAAGGGATTACCGCCACGTTGTTTCGTGGATTCGCTTGGATTTTACCATTGGCAAGCGTCGGACTGCAAGCAGAATAGTGGATAGAGGAAAGCTGGACACATATGACCTTGTGGTGGACACACCAGATGCGACACGTGCTCCGGTGGAACACAACTATAATATCAAACATCATATATATTTTCAACAAGCAAAATCAAGGAATAAGAGCGATGTGCAGTGAGAACTATTGAAGAGTCCAAATAAGAGAGGGGGGGGGGGGAGTCTGAGACCAAACTGATTGTAAATGACAAGGCGGCCGTCGGATGAGAACTCTCAACAGCTCTTAATGACTGCTCTTAATGACTGCTCTTAATGACTGCTCTTAATGACTGCTCTTAATGACTGCTCTTAATGACTGCTCTTAATGACTGCTCTTAATGACTGCTCTTAATGACTGCTCTTAATGACTGCTCTTAATGACTGCGCTTAATGACTGCTCTTAATGACTGCTCTTAATGACTGCTATTTTGGGTGGTTTATCCAATGGTTACATTTCGGCGCAAACCACATCAAGGTATTGCAGAGCAGTGGTTCTCAACCTTCCAAATGCCCCGACCCTTTAAAACAGATCCTCCTTTTGTGGTGACCCCCAATCATAAAATTATTTTTGTTGCTACTTTATAAATATGTGTTTTTCGATGGTCTTAGGAGGCGACCCCTGTATAAGGGTCGCTCGACCCCCCCCCCTCAAAGGGGTCATGACCCACAGCTTGAGAACCGCTGTTGTAGAGAAAGAGCTCATAACAAAAAAAATATATTATTTTTAAAAAAAACAAAAAAAAACAATGTTTTTATTTCCCCCACCCTTGTCAAGGTCAGAAGTACCGGTAGGGTTAACCCCAGTTCAGGGAGTCCTTTAGGGACAGAAAGTCGTACGTGCCTCACAGTAATGGTAGTGAATTAAAACGGGGGCTTACTGAATCAACATGTTGCCTTTAGGAGAAAGAAAAAAAAGAGAGATGGGATTGGCGAGGGGGGGGCCTGCTACGTGTTTCATCTGTTCCGAAATATGGAGTGCTGTGCCATGTGAAGAGGTCAATGATCAAAAGCTGTTGCTCAGTAGGTTATTTAAAATAGGGTTAAATTTATGTATTTTTTTAACAGACAAGTGCGAATTGCGTTTGAACAAGAGAGCACCCAAAAAGTATTTTGTTGTTGTAGCCTACAGCTTGGTCCACCTTGGGGGGGTGGGGGGGACAGCAACGAAAGACTATTTTATCAGTAGAATTGTGTTTTCCTTTATTTTCTTTTTTTTAATTAGAAAAATAAAAGGAATAAGAATTAAAGATCAGACAACTCTGACAGATGCATGCAAACTTCACAAGCAACTCAGACATGCTGTCTGCAAACATGAACGCCACGACGCTAACGGGCTGTCAACAAAATCAGACCCTAAAAAGGAAAGCCCGTTAATTCCCATGTAATGAAAGGGATGCGTTTGAGAGCACCTTCAGTCAGCTGGCCACTTGACAGCACCTTCAGTCAGCTGGCCACTTGACAGCACCTTCAGTCAGCTGGCCACTTGACAGCACCTTCAGTCAGCTGGCCACTTGACAGCACCTTCAGTCAGCTGGCCACTTGACAGCACCTTCAGTCAGCTGGCCACTTGACAGCACCTTCAGTCAGCTGGCCACTTGACAGCACCTTCAGTCAGCTGGCCACTTGACAGCACCTTCAGTCAGCTGGCCACTTGACAGCACCTTCAGTCAGCTGGCCACTTGACAGCACCTTCAGTCAGCTGGCCACTTGACAGCACCTTCAGTCAGCTGGCCACTTGACAGCACCTTCAGTCAGCTGGCCACTTGACAGCACCTTCAGTCAGCTGGCCACTTGACAGCACCTTCAGTCAGCTGGCCACTTGACAGCACCTTCAGTCAGCTGGCCACTTGACAGCACCTTCAGTCAGCTGGCCACTTGACAGCACCTTCAGTCAGCTGGCCACTTGACAGCACCTTCAGTCAGCTGGCCACTTGACAGCACATCACCACCAACGCGGCAGGCTGGTCACCACCTGGTTGTTGGCTCACCACCTTTAAACGAGCTGGTGTGTGTGTGTGTGTTAAATTTAACACATACACACTCACAGGCCAACATTCACCGGACCAGCAGTCACAGGCCAACGATCCCAGGCCAACGATCAAGAGGCCCAAAGTCTCAGACGAACAATCCCAGGCCAACAATCGAGAGGCCCACAGTCACAGACGAACAATCCCAGGCCAACAATCAAGAGGCCCACAGTCACAGACGAACAATACCAGGCCAACAGGAACATAACCCTCTGGTGGTGCTGAGAGAACACCTCAGAAGTTTAACAGTAAGACAGGGGGCACTGTGTATCTTTTTTTATTTACGAGCTAAGAATATGAACATATATCAGAACATGGCCAAAGGTCACCTAACTTACTGACATCTGTCATCTAAATTCCAGAATGGGGCAAGAATTTTTTTTTTTTTTAAATATAAAAAAATTGATTCAAACTAAAATAAAAGCTGCTTCATTCCCCTACTTGCCCCTACATCGTTATAGTGTCAACAAGACTATGATGCAAGGGAAAAACACTTTCGGATAGTAGCTCATCGGTTAAACTTCCAATACCAACACAGTTACAAAAAGGTTGCTTTAAATTAATTATAAATGATTGCTTCTTTTCAACAACAAAAAAATAAAATAATTAATAGCGGTTAGAATCAAGCAGTGGAACATGATCAAGTGACATTATGATATACCAGAAGAAATGTTTGGGTACAACACACACGAAAACAATCAAGGATGAAGGTTAATCTGGACCACTCGCCTTCCACCCAAAGCTTTTGACCTACCTGAGCCAGGTGTCCTCCGTCGCCACTGTCGGGGAACATCAAGCGCAAGGCTTGTCTCTTCAGCTCCACGAGGCACCCGTTGCAATGTTCACAGCAGATGCCCCCCTGGTGGTGTATCCTCGGCTCTGCGGCCGCCCCTACTCCGAGGATGGGGGGCGGCGACAGAACCCTCCTGTCGGTGTAGGTCCCCACCCTCCTCATGGGCAGCACGTCGCTGCTGGGCGATAGCGGCCGGGCCGAGTAATGCCCGGCCATGTAGCGACCCGCGGACGGAGACAGACACCGCACGATACCTGGATTGCTGTAGTGCTGAAGTGAGCCGTTGCCGCGTGGGGCCTGCTCACTCGTGGGCGATGCAGGGCGCCCGAACACGAACGACACCTCGTCCACGGGACCAACCGACCTCTTCACGGCCACGGTGTTCGTCAGAGGAGAAATAGTCCCTCGGATGGGGTAATCCTTTTCAGAAATGGCCGTGGGTGTGTGGTGGTCTACCGCGGGCGTCCCACTCCTGGGGTCGGCCGACGACGCCTCGTGGCTTGGGCCCCACCTGTCGGCTGCGGCGTCCACCCCTGTCCTTGGTGTGGACGTGTTTGGGGAAGGACGCGTCGTGTCGTCGCCATCCTTGTCACAGCCGTACCCGGGTAGTGGTGTGTCCGCCACAGAGCGGCCACCACAGGCCGCATCTTTGGTCTGGACGCTGGACTGCGGGTCTGTGTTTCTGTACAAACCAGAAGGTGAGGTCACCGGGTCTGTGGATAGGGAGTTGAGAAAAGATTCCTCCCCTGGGTCAGGGTTCGCCTCACATCCAACAACGCTCCTGTCATACGGCTCGATCTGCGAAAGTAGTAAAAAAAATACATTTTTATTTATTGTACAAACCACAACATAAATTGATGATTTGAAAGAATTAAGGATTTCAATTAATTGTTTTCAAATCTTCCGGGATGCAATATTCCACACACGCTACAATGTAAAGCAACGTGAGAACTGCAATACAGTTTGTAGTTTTGATATAAAGCAAAGTGGGATTGATTTATATTTCGTAGTTTTAATATAAAGCAAAGTGAGAACTGCAATACAGTTTGTAGTTTTGATATAAAGCAAAGTGAGAACTGTTACACAGTTTGTAGTTTTGATATAAAGCAAAGTGAGAACTGCAATACAGTTTGTAGTTTTGATATAAAGCAAAGTGAGAACTGTTACACAGTTTGTAGTTTTGATATAAAGCAAGGTGGGATTGATTTATATTTCGTAGTTTTAATATAAAGCAAAGTGAGAACTGCAATACAGTTTGTAGTTTTGATATAAAGCAAAGTGAGAACTGCAATACAGTTTGTAGTTTTGATATAAAGCAAAGTGAGAACTGTTACACAGTTTGTAGTTTTGATATAAAGCAAGGTGGGATTGATTTATATTTCGTAGTTTTAATATAAAGCAAAGTGAGAACTGCTACACATTTTGCAGTTATGATATAAAGCAAGGTGAGAACTGCTACACATTTTGCAGTTTTGATATAAAGCAAAGTGAGAACTGCTACACATTTTGCAGTTATGATATAAAGCAAGGTGAGAACTGCTACACATTTTGCAGTTATGATATAAAGCAAAGTGAGAACTGCTACACATTTTGCAGTTATGATATAAAGCAAGGTGAGAACTGCTACACATTTTGCAGTTATGATATAAAGCAAGGTGAGAACTGCTACACATTTTGCAGTTTTGATATAAAGCAAAGTGAGAACTGCTACACATTTTGCAGTTATGATATAAAGCAAGGTGAGAACTGCTTTACAGTTTGTAGTTTTGATATACGATACTATGCCGTATTGAGCGTTCATATGTTTTGCATTTGAATGAGAAAACATATCCTAATTATCATCTAAGCCGCACTGGTGTTTTGAACCAACTCCACTGAAGCCAATGGCGCAGCATCAGCATCTGCATACACATCTCGCTCGCACTTGGACTTTTAAGACGCACTCACAATGCCAAAGTAATCTTCCCGGGAACTAACGTCCCAGTTTAAGTCCAATGTGGATAAGAATTGTCCCGTTTCGCGGTCTCCGCATTAGGGCTGGGGAACTTCGAATGAGGTCACCGGTAGACTTAATAAATCAAATCAGGAAATATGTTTAAAAGAAATTTCGTCGACGGAACATTGATTGAAATTTGATTGAACGGAAATTTGGTCGAATCTTTTTTTCAGTTTATCCGATAAAATTTTGTCAAATTTCTTTTTGAACGCATTATTTTGTTTTACTATAAAATCTGTCAGTAGTTAGTGTCTGCGTCCTATCACTAGCCATACTATAGCTGTTAGTGTCTGCGTCCTATCACTAGCCATACTATAGCTGTTAGTGTCTGCGTCCTATCACTAGCCATACTATAGCTGTTAGTGTCTGCGTCCTATCACTAGCCATACTATAGCTGTTAGTGTCTGCGTCCTATCACTAGCCATACTATAGCTGTTAGTGTCTGCGTCCTATCATTAGCCATACTATAATATCTCTGTTAGCGTCTGCTTCCGACCGATATGGTCTTGGTTGGACAACCCGTGTTCTGTCATTATCACGCAGGTAGTTTGTCCTACCTCCATAGCCCGCCATTTCACGTTTACCGGGTCCAACCAAACCCTTGAAATCTGAGCATCCTCATCTTTTGGACCATAAGATCAACACTTGTCAAATAGAATGAACATTGCCACCACTCTCTTTCTCTCTCTCTCTTCCCCTAATCTGTGGCTATTTTTATCTTCATCCCTCCCCCTCTTTCTTTCTCTCTCTCCGCTTTTCTGTCTCTCTTTTCTCTCTCTTTTTTTCTCTCTCTCTCTCCCCCTCATTCTCTCTCTTCCTCTCTCTTTCTCTCCCCTCTATGTCTCTATTTTTGATCTCTCTCCTCATCTCTCTCTCTCTCTTACTCTCTATCTCACATACACACACAGAGGGAAGAGAGAGAGACATACACGAGAGAGACATAAACATATATTAAAGGATGAACTTAAGATTAAACTTCTTCAAACAAAAGGAGTCCATCACACAAACATTGTGACCGTCGCGCTTCTTCCCTTCAAATTTAACTCAAGATTCTCTCTTGTTTTGGACGACAAAATACCGGTAACTGCGTGGAATGAGATCAAAGTTTGAGAGGGCCCACAATTAAATATTTCACAGCTGCCATACGTGTATGTCGTTAAAGTAGATCCAGCTACCGTTATTCTGTGTATGTAACATATTAAATGATGTTGTTCTCATAATGTCCTAGATATCAACGGAGACCATCCCTCTCCGTTTTAGCACGTCCTAGAGGGAATACTGTCCTCACAAACAAAGTATAACAAAAATACCAACGGGTAGCTTGTTTGTAAGAGAAATGAGCCGCGCAAGCAAGTGTGGCGGCCATTTCAAACTGAAGCATGCGCCCAGGAGGGAAGCATGCGCCCAGGAGGGAAGCAAGACGGACTTACCTGAGAGACCTTGTACATATCACTGCGCCTTACGTGGGCGTACGTCACCTGATAACGTCCGGTGGGCGGGCGGTGCTTGCTGTAGGGGTGCCCCGTCGGACAGGCCTCCACGGCGGCACGCCCGTGTCGCGAGGGGGGATAATTTTCACACGCGTTCGTTTTGGCGGTGTCGTGGGCGTGGGACGATGTCCCGGACTTGCCGTCTTGACCATCGGGGTGCCCGCTGCTGGTGTGGTGCCCGGGGCGCTGCAGGCGGGGCGAGGGGTGGCGGGCGTGGCCAGGTTTCTCCTTCCTTTGCTGCTGCGTGGGGTAGGCGCCGGCGGCGTCACCCCTCCTCGGCGTCTGGTAGGCTACAACATCCCCCCTGTCCTGCTCCGGCGTTTGAACTCTTCCATGACTAGACCCTAGATAGGTCGGGATGCCAGAGCGAGCGGGGTGGGCTCTCTCCATCCCTCACTTGTCTGGGGGGGGGAGGAACAAAAATAATAATGGTTATTACATTCATATAAAATACATGTTCAGGGCCGGGCCGGACACGGTATGGTCGTGTTGAGCATGCCACTTGACAAGATCAAATGTTTCACAATGTATGGAGTTCAAATATATGTTAAAAGCAGTTTAAGTTTAAGAGTTGTATTATTATTATATAGTCATGTTATAGACAAATATATATATATATGTTCTTGTTTTTTCTAGAAAAAATATTTTCCTACCACATTTAACCCACTAGCGAAGGAAAAAAAAATGGGGGGGGGGGCAGAAGTCGAACATTCGCCCCAGTGCACCACTTTATCTCTATTTATTGAGAGGAGGCATGTTCAGCCAACTGCAGAGTTCTTTCGAGCGTGGGTGGTTAAAATCTTGGCCCGGCTCAAGACGGCCCTAACGCTATAGCTGCGCCACTGATTTTACCGTTCACTGTCTCAACTTTGACCTCTTACAACGCCTGCGACCCAGAAAACAAAAGACTCCGACCCGATATTTTAAAATGATAAAAACCTATTTGGAAAACTTTTTTTTTTTATGCATTCACGGGTTTTTATGGCCGCGGCGTACGGTCCAATGAAAGCACACCAACCAGGTGAGAAGCGCCGCAGACCATCCAATAAATACCACAGAGTGTCGTGTGATTTTTCTGAAGGCTGAAGGCAAACATTCCACTGGAGGTGGTCATAAACTGAACTCGTTCATTGCGTTCTCGCAGCCTTTTGTGCCGTCCGTTCTCACAGGCAAGCCAACGGCAGACGGCGTGGAGCGAATGCCCGGCTGCGGACAGAACAGCACACTCACACGACGATGGCAACAGAAGCGCGCCGCACGTATCTCATAGCACCATAACCAAGGTTTCAAAGATCTCCCATGTTAGGGTGGAATTTACGGACATTGCACATTTCGTTCGTTCTACTAAAACAGCGGTTCTCAACCTTCCTAATGCCGCGACCCTTTAATACAGTTCCTCATGTTGTGGTGAACCCCCCCCCCCCCACCCTCAAAATTTTTTGTTAGGGTGGAATTTACGGACATTGCACATTTCGTTCGTTCTACCAAAACAGCGGTTCTCAACCTTCCCAATGCCGCGACCCTTTAATACAGTTCCTCATGTTGTGGTGAACCCCCCCCCCCCAGCCTCAAAATTATTTTCGTTGCTTGTAACTGCAGAGCACATGTGTTTTCAGATGATCTTTGGCGACCCCTGGGAAAAGGTCGTGCGACCCCCAAAGGGATCGCGACCCACGGGTTGAGAACCACTATACTGAAAAGATATAGGCTATAGTTGTTGTTTTTTTTTTGTAGTTTTTTTTTATGTATGTCATTTCTATATTGTTGTCTTTTGTTGTCACAGTTAGACATATTCTTAGCCCTCTTTAGCAAAGACTACATAGATCTTCGAAGGAGACGTAACATGTTGGTAAGAATTGTTAATTAACATACACACATGTATGTAGATAAAAGGGTCACAATATATATGCAGTTTCCATGAAGATCAAAAGCGAGGGTGGTTGGAAAATAGATGTGTGGACTGGGTGTCGCACAGCGGTGTCGGCGTAG